AGTGTTCACCGAAACGCCTGGGCCTGGTTAAAGAGGGTTTAGCACCCGCCTTTTACATTCCGCCCCGGAGAGTGATACTGCCGTGTGGACGTGTGAACGTATCGGACAGGGTGAGAAGCACAAAGGCTTACGGTCCTTCCTAAGAACGGATCGAAGACTCCTTCACTGAGCCTTCTGTACACGATGCGGTTCAGGTCTCGTAGGAGCCGTGCTTAACTCTTTTGCCGGTGTCTGACCGCGTATATGTGGCTCTCTTCTTCCTTTGTCTAGACCGCCCTATATTTGGTTTGTTGTTTATCGCACACGCAAGGTAAAGTGAGATGCGCTCTTCGAGTACCACGAAAGGGCTTGGGCACAGATCTCGACCGTCCTCAATTTACTTTAGAGTCTAAACGGAAGATTAAATCAAACAACCCAGGTCAGTGAAAGGCAAAACGAAGAGTACGGTGGACTAAGCGACGACTCATTTCGGTTAGTCTAACTAAATATAACCCGCTGCCCGGAACACCCGGCTGTCGGCATGGCTAAGTTGTATAAGCTTAACTCACCACCTTCCACAGCCCGTACGGTTTTTCTGGTCGCCACGTCATGTGTTGCGTTAGACTTATCCCGCTGTGTGCGAGTAGCTGCGGGCTGTAGATAGCTGCGGCTTTTACGCGCGAACCACACAGTCCTCGAAATCTGTGAAAATAGGTTTCGCTGAAATGCTATGAGGTTATTACACCCGTTCAGGGTTGTCCTCGTTAAAGTCCACCCATTCTCACAGAACGGTCCCTGTGTTGCCTGTTCGACTGACGTCCACCCCACTACCTTGGACGCGGTGTGCGGAGGCAGAGCGTATTGTGAGAAAGAATACTTGAGAACGGTGTTGTAGTCGAAATTTTCACCTTGAGGTCTGACCCTGCAAGAAATTTGCCGAGAGAACTCCGACCAGGTTTCTCAGTAACCGGGAAAGTGTGGGTTGCATCGAGACTACAAGATCGTAGGCACGAACGCAGAAGACCAAGCCTTGGTCAAGAAGAAAAGTTGGGGGGCAAAACAAGTGTAGGCGGGTTCCTCGGGCTCACCACGACGCGGTAGCTTAATCCTGCTTAATGCAGGACGAAAGTTACCGCAATTTTGATCGATTATATATCTCTCTATATCTGTGTATTTTGTACTGTACACGTATTTCGAGTTTTATTGATTGACATATACGTTAGTTAAATTTAATGATTACCGATATTGTAATTTTGACTAAGAGTAGCAATGTTTGACCTGTTCTTACACCCGAAAAACAACAACAAGTCCTCCAACTAGGGCGGGGACGGGAGGCGGGAGGCTGCATTCTCCTCTAACTGCTACGCCAAAACGAAGACCTACCTGTTACAAAACTCGAACCATTCTTGGTTCCTTGTGGCCACAATTCGTCCGAGTTCGAGGCTTGGCGGGACCTTGCGGCGTGACCACACCTTTCCCCGTTATCTCTGTGAAATCTATGGTTTTACATCTTTCACTGAGATTCACGGGACGACTCAAACTGCTTCCAACGTTTGCCTTGTAGTGTCTAATCGTTCACAAAAAAAGGTACTTTCTGACAACAAACCTGTGATCTGACGCACCCTACACAGTGACTGAGAGTGCTCCTTCTGTAGGTGTCGGAATGTCTGACGTAGTGCCTAATGTAATTGAAGGACACTCAGCGCACGTATAATTGTTTTTCCCTACCCACCCACTAACTACGTCACACCACTCGATTTTGACTCACAAAACAAGTCGACCACCTCCACAGCGTCTCGTCGTGACGCAGTGTGACTCATTTGCTGTCTCACAAGTGAAATGACAAAAAGATTTGCAAAAAGTTTACCCGTAATTCGAGTCTCAATCTGGTGAGGAGTTGCAGTGTGGCGTGTATTCGGTCAGTTTACTTTAGTTTTTCTCCGCCCGACGTCGATGAGGAAACAATACCAACGCATTGACTCTACTTCCTGCTCTGGTTATTGGCAACTTCGGAGCTACCGACTTCCGCCGTGAATGACACTGGAAATGACAAGAAATTGTATATGTCCAGTAGAAGAGTGTAATAGTAGTGAAGTTAAGTATATACAAAAATTTACCGTTCTCGAACTGTCCTCGAATATAGGTAAAACAGGTGCCCGGATGTAATAGACGAGATGTATAGCTCTCGTAAGTCGACGATTTCCTCGTCTACACATAAAACAAAAAGAAGATTAACGTCAAAGTAAAGTTATATAAAGTCTCGAAACAGCTTTTCGTAGTACAATTGGTAAAGTCCGATCCTCGGAGAACGTCCGAAGAACACAGTCGACTGTTGACTGTAATGTCGACTACTACCGATTGTCGTGAGATCACGACTGACTAATTTTATTTGGACCGGAGAGTTTGTCTTTGTATTGTGTTTGTTTCCCTCGTTTCTACCGATGTGACCGGACAAGATTCAGACACAAGACTACTCCGACCCCAATGGTAAACTTCTGTGTCTTGTATCTACTGTAACTTGTACAAAACTTTCTCTTTCCGTGTGTCTTCTGAAACCGTTTTTTCCGTTTACCAAATTTTATGTTGTCTCTTTAACTCCTGGTGAAGTGTGCAGGACCACAGAAGCAGGTCAGAGAGACCAGAACGACGCACGCCTGGGGTCAAAGGTCGACGACGTACCTCAACCAAGACCTGTCCGGGGCGAGGCCGAGGACCTGACCTTGTCCCTAAGGAACCTCGGTACCGGTCCGACGATAGGGGAGACTCTCCGACGTCTGGGGTCTCAGGGGCGGCGACCGCCGGGGCCGGCAACCCGACACCGGACACCCTGTGACTCACACCCGCACCGAGAACCGCCCTGCGCCTGTGCCGGCGACGCTACCGCCGGCGGACCCGGCGACGTCGACCTCCGACGACTGACATCAGCTCTCGGGACGAGACGTGAGCCCCAGAGAGACCTTCGGTATGGATAGGGGGGGTGCGTGGCTCGGTATGAAGGGCTAGAGAGTCTCATCGTATGCAAAGTCTACCCATGTGCAGCCTCGAAATTACCCCCAAACCAAGGACGCGGCCTCGGTGGAATTCCAAGTATGCTGGAGATTGGAAAAGTCCTTCGGCGGCACTCGATGACGTAGTATCCTTGAAATATTGGCTTGGAAGCCAGTTTCCTCGCGATTGAGAAACGGCCTGTCTTCCAGTTGTTGCCTCTTTTGAATCACGAATACACACTACCGCCGCCTGCTGGTAAGGAGAGTTATTGCCACTCACGCATGCACAGTTCGTACTTGCAACTTGGCCGTCGGCTGAAGTCTTTGCGGTGTGTTCCAGGGCGAAACATGGCCAAGATGTAGGAGACATGAGGTGACGCGTCCCAACCGGTCTTTTGTGTCCGTTTTATTGTGTAAAGGCCGCTACACACCAACCTGAGACCAAAGAACGCGTCCCGACTTTTACGTCCGCTACGTCGCCTGCGTCTGGGTTCATAAGCTACCCAGCAGTATATAATGTAATTTAAATCAGCTCCTCCACTTCAGCTCTCTGAAGCAGAAATAAACTATTTAAGCATTGTGGCTGGCAACCTTAAAGTACTGCTGCTACCACATTCCATGCATCAGTAATTATAATCAAAGATATATAAATAACACTGACAGGCAAATGATGTATCATCATGTACATATCTGACTTTTATTGTAGTATTGCTAATTGTATCCTCATTCTCTAATGGCTGTAGTATGAAGGTACGAAATAAAGTTTTGCATTTTGCAGTAGCGGTAAAAAGTGGTTTATTTATTATCATTCAAAGAACTGTACAGTGTAAAGACAATACAAAAATACAATACGATAAAAATAGTCAATAGTGTGCAATACAATAAAAAAAACTGCAGCCTGGCCAGGATCCACTGCTGTCTGCCGGTCTTTGGTGCTCCAGAACTACCCGAAGGTGCAAGTTTCTTGTACCGGGTGTACTGGGTTCGCAGAGAATCCCACTTCTTCCTCAGCTCTTTCTCTGAAGCACACAAATAAACTATTTAAGCATTGTGGCTAGTTAGCATGTTGTCCAATTCATATCTATGCAGTGCCAAACAAGTAGCAACAGCTAGCAAAAAAACAACAACAAAACACAAGGTTGAAATAACAAATTATATTTCACGTTAACGTCACTGTACGCTGGCGAACAATAACAAACCAACAGTTTCTGCTAAAGAGGTCAATTGATGAAAAAAAGAGAGAATCTTACCTGGTAAAACAAGTTGAGTTTCAATCTCTCGCCAGAGTCCGGTTTTCACTATTCGGTTCGCGTACAGTTTATCTGTAATGTCGTACAGAGCTGGCCTCTCCTGAATCAAGCTGATGAATTGGTCTTCAATTTCGTCATTCCAGATCGCCATGACGTAAAAATAAATTCTTGCGTCCAGGTGAGATGAAAATGAAAAATAATAGCCGTCTATGTGGTGTCTGGTACCTCACTTCCGTTTCGATTCTCATGCACTGATTCGCTAAACTGAACAGCCAATAAGAGTGATTTCTTTTGCCGACAGTCTCCGCTGCTCCGCTCCCATGTTGTCGATGTTGAATTGTTGCCACTCACGCATGCGCAGTGCGTACGTGCTACTTGGCCGTCGGCTAAAGTCTTTGCGGTGTGTTCAGTGCCATATATAGAGAGATTATTATTCTATTATACGGCTCTGGGTGTGTTGTTCCAGTGCGACTTTTTGGGCAAGACGCAGGAGACGTGAGTCGACACAACAGTCGGGTCCGTCGGGACCATGGTCGGGACGTGTTCTTTGGTGTCAGTTTGGTTTGTCCCGGTCCCGACCTTTACACATCCATGCAATAAACAGACCCAACTCCACGCATGCGCAGTACCATGAAACCGAGTACTTCCTGATGTCTGCAGGAGCGTGGTAGTGTAGTTTTCTCTCTGTGGAGCAAACGTTCAATCCTCCCCACAAAGTTAGAGAGCCTCCAGCCGGAAGGACTTCAGTTCATGTTGATGCAGACTGCGGCCGGTAAACTCATGAAGGTGTTCCTGACCAGACGCATCCCTCCGGAGGGGATGAAGATCCTGTCCGCGGCTGGAATGTAGGCATTATTTAAGTATAAAACTGACTGATATTTGACATTGCCATAGCAGATTGTATTGACTACCAGCAGGCTGTGCGGCTGCCCTGCAATCTACCCTGGCTGGCTTACTCTTTTTCCTCCATATGTTCAGACAGTCCTTTTGCTTCGAATCATGTTACACACTTCTGTAGCCAATAGTAAACATGAGATGTATCGTGACCTCTCCTAGGGTCACACAACTCCAACGATACAGTGTGTTGCTTGCTAACTAATTCAGACTGTATGCCTTGTCACATTACTTTTCATACCTTTTCTCCTTTTTTTTGTCTCAGCTGTGAGGTGTCCCAGTGGGACTCAGATGAACCCGTGCAGAGGGCAGATCTGCTTAAAGGTGTGCAGGGAGCTCATGGTCTGCTGTGTCTGCTGTCAGACAAGATCGATGCCGAGGTTCTGGATGCTGCAGGTACTCTATCATCCTGTACTCATCATCTGTGGTTATGTAAAACTAGGACTGGTCCATCAATCAAACATATTTACTTTTTTTTTAGCAGGATATGAAGCTACAAAGCTTTTACATTCCTGAACTACAGACATTACCTTATTAAAAACCAAAAAATAAGGGCTGCAAGCGACATGCTGTATTTCTTATATCAGTCTTTAAGAAGTCCATAAGAAATGACCAGAGGTAATATTGTTTTGGGGGTATGTTGTTATAGTTTGACAGGAAATGAGGGAAAGACATAAAGCAACAAATGCCTTGCTTGGATTAATATATCTGTTACATTTCTTGGTCATCATCTTAAACCCTTAACTATGAGGGCAGAGAATAGCAACACACAAGCAGATATATTTTATAAAAAAAGGAAAAGTGAATTATCAAAATAGATGCTAATGTTTTTTTTTTTAAACAATTAATCCTAAATCAATCCAATAAATGTATTAGCACATACAACATATCAAACGGTTCTAATGATATGTTGCTCAAGTGTCTAGATTTTAACATTTCAGTGTGATCTGTGTGTGATTCAGGACCGAACCTGAAAGTAATCAGCACCCTCTCAGTTGGATACGACCACTTGGCTATTGATGAAATAAAAAAGCGGTAGGTTTCTATCATGAACTGCAGCTTATACTTCTACAAACCAACCTTCTACTAGTAGGATGAATTGGCACATCCAAATGAAATGACTGTTTGTTTTCCACAGTGGTATTCGTGTTGGATACACTCCGGACGTCCTGACTGACGCCACAGCAGAGCTGACCGTCGCCCTGCTGCTGGCTGCCGCTCGCAGGTTACCAGAGGGAGTGGAGGAGGTCAAAAAGTCAGTCCCCCAGCCCCACATTTACACTATCTGTGTTGTCTTTCATTGTGATGACATTTATGTATCTATTTCACCAAGAGTGCAGGTAACTAAGTGACATAATGGTCATGCAGTGTTTTCTTTTCTCTCTAAGTGGGGGCTGGAGCTCGTGGAAGCCTCTCTGGCTGTGTGGTTACGGCCTCTCCGGCAGCACAGTGGGAGTCATTGGACTGGGACGCATTGGTAAGGCTACTGATGATGCGATATAGTATCATATGACTAGGTCCTTTCACCAATACCAGTGTTCTCATACCTAATTAAAATGCTGTGATTGTATTTCCCTGATGAGCTCTATAGTTGAATAACTGGGTGTGTTTGTGATGTTCAGGCATGGCAATTGCTCAGAGACTCATGCCCTTTGGAGTGAAGAGGCTGCTGTACTCTGGGAGAACAGCCAAGGACTACGCTGCTGAGGTGAATGGAGAGTATGGTAAGAAAAAGAAGCTACACAGTGTAAGGGAACATTTTAAAACCATATAGCAGGACACTCAAATCCAGACACTTTTTGTTACGCTGCTATGGACAATCTGCAATAAATGCACATTTTATGGAGAATCTTGCACCAAAGATATTGAAGTGACTGTTATTTTGTATATATTGATTGTTGTGGGGTTTTTTTTATCTTAATGTGTGCATATGTGTAAATGTGTCTGTTGACTGTGTATATAGGATATACATATTTTATACATATTTGTATACATATCTGTATACTGTATAATTTTACATTCCGGATTGTTGGAAACGTCATTTCGATCTCTCTGTTTGTAAACACAAACGGAGTAAGATTAACATTAAAGTTGACTTTGAAAGGACAGAACATAAGAAGTGATAATCTAATATAAAAAGATACGAAACGTTTTCTTTTGCCAGAGATTCCTCAATAAATCACAGCATCATACAAATAGAAAACCAATATCAAGAAAATATTGAATAAGTATAATATTATTTATAAGAAGCAACACTAATACCATTGCCTAATAGACGATAACAATATAAGTCAAATAGATTAGGTGAAACAAGTAACTAAACTCAATCTAGCTTTTCAATAATAATAGGGATTTTGGGGTTTCCTCTCGTCCTCCTCTCCTCTCCTCTCCTCTCCGTTGAACAGTTCCCCTGGACACTCTTGTGTCAGAGAGCGACTTTATAGTTGTTTCCTGCTCCCTGACACCAGAAACCCAGGGCATGTGTGATAAGGCCTTCTTCAGCAAGATGAAAAACACAGGAGTCTTCGTCAACTCAAGCAGGTAAAGCAGCACAAACATAGGTGTGATAGACGTTGTTATGTGGTCAGTCTGTTGTCATGTTTATGTCACTAGCTGTTGTTTGCTTATACAAACCGGGTGAGATGTGGTGAATTCTTTGTTTTAGGGGAATTGTGGTGAACCAGGAGGATCTATACGCAGCTTTGAGCAGCGGACAGATAGCTGCAGCTGGATTGGATGTCACAACACCTGAGCCACTCCCAACAAACCACCCTCTGCTGACACTCAAAAACTGCGGTAAGTAAACAGGATGGGAAATATGTAGACATGTTTTTTGCCCACTTTTCCTACCTTCTTTTGATTTGACACTATAGTCTTATGTAATGATACGTTCTCTCCTCTCCTATCTTGTGCAGTGGTGTTGCCACACATCGGCAGTGCCACCTACTCCACGAGAGGCATCATGGGAGCTTTGTCGGCCCAGAACCTGCTGGGAGGTTTACAGGGCACGGACATGCCCAGTGAACTCACCTTCTAAAACTAAAAGTGTGTTGCTATGCCGACGGCCTGCTCTGGTGCTGCATCTGTAGGAGTCATAAACTGATCTAGTGATAGTCTCCTATGTGACAGGGCTGAAAAGAAGAATACTAATGTAGTTAAGAAAGCTTAGACACATGATTCCATGTCGTCAGTATTAACTTGATAGTGTGATCTTGTCAGAGGTACTAATATGAGATTCACTCTTTGAATTGATTGTGTATTTCAGAGGAATTCAATTCTTTGTGCAGTTTTATCATCTCAGAAATATATTTAAGAGGCTAATGAAGAAACTGGTAGCACTTCATAACATTAGTTATTTTTTGCATTTGAAATGTCTGTTAAAATATAATCAAATGTTCTGTCTCTCTTTAACCGTGCCATAAAGATGAGCATTATTCAATCTGCACTTTTCTCTAATGGTAATGCTGTCAGTGAAGCTCCCAAACAGTACAACACTCCAGTTTTGTGTAAAACAAAATGGCATGTCTTGAAGAATAAACACGTATTGCTTAGTTTAATTATAATGCTCCGTGTGTTGTATTTTTTTTAATTAGAAATGACTCTGCTCAAAAAATGTAAAGTGAATGATTTATTCTCATCACTCTTAACACAGCAGTAAAAAAACAAGTTATTCTTTGAGAACATTTTCAGTGCATTCATCAGTTTGGCTACATTTCTATCCAATAGTTTTTTAACAAATCACAAAAAAACATTAGCTAGTTTAATTTGAATTCATGTAACATATAATTAAGTTCATGGGGTAATAAATAATCAACCTTGCAGAGTTCATTTTGTTCTATGAGTTGTGCAAACCAGAAAACACCCTTCAGTTAAGAGCAGTTGATAGCAGGGTATCAGGGAAGGATTGGTCATCCTTCCAGTTCAGGCAGGTGTTTTTGGAGTGCTTATACAGATGGGAGGACTGGCTGAAGCGCTTGCCACACTTAGGACATGGATAGGGCTTTTCTCCGGTGTGGACCCGAATATGTTTCTTACAGTCAGTCAGGTTCATGAAGGTCTTGCAGCAGATTTTGCAGGCGTATTTCTTCTCCCCTTCGACCAACATCACAAGGTCTTCAGCAGCTGCTTTCTTGCACTTGGACATAACATCGTCAGAAGCTCTGGTCAGAGGCTGCCGCTCAGCAGCATCCCCCGCTGACGCAGAGGAACCATCAGCTTCTGATCCAGGCGGCACTTTGGGGGCAATGCGTCTGAAGGTTGTCGCCCCTGAGCTTTTCCCGGCCCAGGAAGGTTGGATGAGGGACGTTTCCAGACTGAGGCCTGGATTGATGCTACTCAGGAACCCTGATAAAGAGTTCTGAGCGGGCTGGAGGATGAGTGTCTCGCTGAAACCAGGGCCCTGAGTGGGGAGAAGCTGCTGCAGGGGGACAGACGTCACCGGAAACACTAGAGAGGGATCAGAGGTCTGAGCAGGAGAGCTTTCCTCTGAGTTTTGACAAAGTTCTCCAGCAGCATAAGAGGCAGAGGCAGCAGCTGTAGCAGCAGCAGTGAGGCTAGCTAGTCTGTCTTCTTCCTCCAAAGCCCCCATCACGCTGTCACTGCTGGGATTGAGGAAGCAGGAAAAAGCGAGTTCTGACAGGCTGTCGAGGCCTTCACCGTCCACTGACTCCTCACCCAGATCTCTAGCATCAGTTTGAAGATCTGTGCACAGCTGAGATTGCAGAGAGCTAACGTCAGCCTCAGTGGGGCAGGCTGCGGCCATTTTCTCCTCATTTAGTTGTGCTTCCAAATGGTCAGTGCAGCCTGGTGGAGATAGAGGACGATTGTCTGGTAAATCTGGGGAGTAAGAGCTCTCCTTTTTTACCTCAATCATCGTAATTTTCAGCTTCTCTCCATCTTCCTCCCCTTCTTCTCCTATCTGTATTTTGACCACAGTATCTCCGCCCATATCCCATGCACCTACACCTCTCGTGCTGCTGTCTGATTGGCTTGGCAGCTGGATTTCATCTGACTCTCCCTTGGTTGCTTCATATTTCTCCTCCACTTCCTCCTCGCCTCGGCTCTCCCAGAGAGCATCGCTCATCTTCAGGGAGTCTGGGGGCAGCGGCGGCGGCTCTCCACCCTCCTCTGTACTGACGGTGCTTACATTAGGTGAACACTCATTATAGCTTCCCTCAGGCAGTCTGCAGGACCTCTTTCTGCCACTGAGCCCGTCATTGTTTGACTTCCTCTTGTTCCTCAATGATAGTTCCCTCATCCTCACTCCCTGGTCTTCAACTCCACCAGACTGACTAACCTCCACCCCCACTTCCTCGTCACTGATGTGCTCCTCCATGACAGATGTGGCCGACTTCTCTGCCTGCTGCTGTTGCAATGACCTCCAGCCTTTTGGAGGCGATGCAGGAAAGTTTTTCCTGGACAGGTGGAGCTTGCAGGCCTTGACGACAGTGTTGAGGTGCAGGTGTGATGCTGCCAGCAGTACATCCATCACATTGGAGGCACCAGGAGAGAGGGTGGAGGTGTAAATCATGTCCAGCAAGGTCGAGAAGGCCTCAGGGGTCACCACCTCTTGATCTAGTTCCATCACACTGGGGCCTCCACCTGGATCCGCTCCAACCTCGTCGTCACTGGAGCTCAGGAGAGCCCTGAAGTGGGAGCTGGATGCTGCCAGGATGGAGCGGTGAGCCTGGAAGCTCTGACCTCCAACCACCACCACACAGTCACACAGCTGAGCATGGAGGCGCTGGTGGTTGAGCTGCTTGAAAATGTGCTGGAAATGACCTGGGAAGTCCATCATAGGCGGTGGAGGTTCTTTAATACAGGTGTATTGTATAGCATCCGTGGCACTAGTGTAAATTCAATAACACAATGAAGGGCATTGTCTGGAGCAAAGCTGTCAAACTTCTTGTTATTTACCCCTCATCTGCTGAAAACTTCCTCAGGTTGACTGGACACTGGCTTTCCAAAGGAGCCTAACTCCGGTGTGATGTGCGGTCTGTTGTCTGTTGTAGCTGCCTGGGATGCTGTGGAGGATGGGCGGGCCTAGTGCAACAAGAACACGGAGGATGCGACTCGGTTTCAGGCTTCGTCTCCGAGAACAGCCGGATATCTGTACAGACTAGGTTCTTCTTTCACTGACAAAAATATGTTATCCTAATGTTGCTTTCATTATGGTTACCATTTCTGCTAATAATCCAGAGCCCTACAACCTAACTCTCACCCGGTTTAGCGTCTACTGTCCTCCATCGTTTGTTGTCTCATCAACCCTTGGGATGAAACCACACCGCCCCCTGGTGGCCATTTTGCTGAACTGCATCTACATTCGACTTTCTCAATATCGAATTTTGTCAATTTGATTTCTCATCAAATTATGTTGTAATTGTTATAGTACACTGCAAGTCAAGTTGATATACTGTACAAATCAAACAATTGATCTTTTTATTTGCATTATCAATGTCCTTGGGCTTTATTACTCCAATTAGAAACCCGAAGCAGATTCGATTTGACACAAGAGTGCTTATCAATTCATGTTCCCATGACTCCTAGCAAACTAGTATTTTAGTTAACAATATTACAGTATTTTTGATCTTTGGATCTAAATAAACACCAAGGCAAAGGTTAAATTAATCTAGAGGCCAAGTCAAGAAAATATGTTTGTTGCTGTTGAAGATCTCTGTTATCAGTTCAGAAAAAGACAATGAATCACGTCCAAATCCTTTATGCAATTTTTTTATTTTCAGTGATGTCAGATTCAAGGTTTGAAACCCTATCATGAACGTTTTGTTGCCGTTTAACAATCTGTTATGTAAATCAAAAACAACATGTTTCCCCTTTGATGTGTGAACACAGCAGGCATACACACATTTAGACTTTGCATTTAACAATGACCACAATGTGTTTCACAAGAAAGGCAGACTAAAGTATTCAACAACACATGACAAATGAAAACAAGGTGTTTCTTCAGGTGCAGTGATGGACAGACTTTGATCATCTCCAACAGGATTTGCTGTTGTTGCCCCGGTAGTCTGATGAAGATGGCTCATACTGTCTCTGATGGAGTAAACTCTCAGTGCATGGCGGAAGAAGAGACCTGCTGCTCCACTCATATGCTGTCCAGCTTCTTTAACACATATGGGGCTGTAAACACAGAAGAAACAGAGTATTAGTTTATGTTAAGACCATGAATAAATGCAGATTGATGTATGGCAGCACAGTTGAGGAAAATATGTTTTTAACTTCGTTAATGTTGTGATAATTAAAGTACTTTTGAATATTACAAATATATTGATTTTTATTCGGTTCTGCCTTTCTGCTGCTCTCAGAATACTGCTAAAAAACAAATGCCAATAAATTATATTATGTAAATTGGGCAACATTGAGCATTGGACGAACATAAAACATACCAATAACGAAAATGATTGTTACATTTTAAAGAGGAGTTTTTGTACGATGAGTCTCTTTCAACTAACTAGAAAACCCCTGTACAATATTGCAGTATTTCGATAGATTGTGCACTGCAGCCTTAAGATTTATCCTCCATTGGCTCTGGAGCAATGTAGCTTGTGTTGTTATGTTTTTATAAAATGTGCTATAAAACGTTCCCAGATACTTTCACATGCATGAGGTGACACAACACTGTCCTTAATGCCAGAAAAGCAGTGAAAACTACAAGTGTTGTGAGTTTTATGTCAATGTCATCTGCCTGTACTCACTGGCTCTGAGAAGGGCGACGTAAATAAGGAAGTTTCGTACAGATGAGACGACATCTTGTCTCATTTTCTTCTTCATCTCCTCTGGGTCCATTTTAGGCCCGAGTCCTTCCAGTTTGAACATTATGGCTGTGGTTTATTTGGTCTTTTTCTTAAATCTGTCTTTCGTGTTGAAAATTCAACGTTGCGGAGCATGGAGGAATAATCCTAACCGGAAGTGCGTAAAAAGGGAAGTGACGACGAACGATGGTGCGCACCGAGGGTCAAATCGCACGAAGAAACCAAGGCAAAAACAAATAAATTATGTAAAAAAACAATACTTTTTAGGTTTACTGGAAAATAATATGACGTTTTACTTTCAGGCCAGATAAATCAACTAGGGGACTGCAAGGGGACAACATATTGAGATTTCCCTTTGGACATCCATTGATGTGTGAGGTGTGTGATAATTTGGTTACAAAAATTATGTATACCGTGTGGATCTTGACATGAAATGCAGAAAGAAATGCAGTGGGCACGTTAAGGACCTTAAAATAAAAGCTAAGGACCTTATCATATGATATGAGTTGATATTGTTAGTGCTATACAGACTACCCAACAGCTGTTCAAATTAGAATTAAATTGTGAGTCTAAGTGTTATTTATTCCCCCCAAAAAAGTATACAGTGGTTATACTGTAAATAAATATATATAAAAAGTAGAATTACAGTCAAAACATTGTTTATTAAGAAGAATACAGACACTTAGTATCGGATTTACAAAATATAAGAAATGGGTAGGCTATCATTTGGAAAACTGGATCATACAAATAAATAAACCAAACATGTTTTCCAATAAAAAAATACTTGTATTAGATCACTAGATTACAAATAGATAGATAGATAGATAGATATTAATCCCAAATTGGGAAATTATTTTGTTGCAGCAGCATAGTAGCATAATAATAATAATAATAATTATTATTATAACAATAATAATAATAATAATAATAGGCCTAATAATAATTGTAAAAATATTATAATCACCATAATAACATATTACATTTTTTATATTTCTTGAATTATTTTACTACTGGAGGTAAGCAACTGGATATATCTGACCTTGCGGAGGGGGGCGGGGGTCCTCGGGGCAGACAGCAGAGGAGGAGAGAGAGAGAGAGAGAGACGGTGGGAGGAGGGGGGTTTTCTGAGCTCAGGGCCGAGGATTAGAGAGCAGTCCCAGTACGATGACAGCATCCAGCACATAGCCAAACCCCCACACACCACCATCAGCATCCGGCCCGGGAGGACGCCGAGGATATTTTTTGACATTCAGACATCGTTTCCCCCAAATTCTCCGTATCGGTGCTCGTTTTGGGGGACAACCCTCCCAGAGTCCCGGTCCCCCCGTCTCCTCCTCGGACCACTAGGTGAGTGTTCTCGGTGTTTCCCGGTGTTATTGTCTGATGAAGGGGCGCCCGGCTATTCGCCTGCACCTTGCATCCATTCCTGACATTTGGACTGATTTTATCACGTCGAAATGAATAATTTAAATGATGGTCGTTTTCATAACGCCTGCAGGCTACACCCGTGTCCCTGTTTGAGGGAGGCGGAGGAGAGATTTTAAATCCGATTAAGATTATAAAGGTAACAAAAGACTGACCTTTTTTTTCTTTGTTTAGACTCCTGGTTTGACCGGCATGGCTGCGGCCACTGATCAAAGTTATGTTGGGTTGGGGCAGTGGTCTATATTGATTATTTTAAGGGCATTTACAAGGCATTTATGAGCAGCTGACACGGTCAATACGTAGTGAGTCCCTCCCCACAACCTACATTAAGGTTATTGGGAATATAAATCGGTAGGCTACCATGCAGAGTCAAATTGTGGCCATTTTCGCACCACACTGAATGGCATTTTCTACATATTCATAAACACATGTGTTATGCAGGGATAGTGAGTCCATGCTGCCGTGTACCTACGCAGTGAAATCACCGTCACTGCCTACAGAGTGAAAATGAACGGACTAAACCCTGACGGATCAGCGGGATGCCAGGCTGGGTAGTGTAGGCTGAAGCACGCACATTATGAATGGGCGTAGGCGATGTGCAGCGACCCTGGGACAGTCGCCTCTCCTTCTTCTCTTTGCTCATATCCTTTGGCCAGAAGCAGCCTCTTCACTGTGCGAGCTCTTCCGTGCCGTGCCAGGCATGACAAGCGCAACACAACTAGACCGGAACAATGCGTTTTGCTGTTCTGGGGCCTTCATTTAATGCATGACATGATTTAATATGACCGCTGTTAGCGTTTCCTTTTAAACACGTGTTAGAGTGCTGCCTCCACTGTGCGTATAGAGACTACCCTTATGGAGTATTTTTTCCTAACAGCAGCATCATATTCAGGCAGCTGCTCGGCCACAGCTGAAAACACACAAACACACACACACGCACACGTACACGCACGCACACACACACACACACACACACACACACACACACACACACACACACACACACACAAATGCACGGTGGTTCCCCCTCTCATGCGACGGGCTGACCAACTTCTGTCCCCCGGTCACCATAGGCGACGTGACTTAAATCCACGTGACCCGCGGAAGAGGTAAGCAAATAAGTGGCTCTGAGAAAAAGAGAGAAGGAGAGAGGAGATAGTTACGGAAAAGAAGGGAGAGAAGAGAAGGTAAGAGAAACAGAGACCGAATTGATGCACGCGGAGTGTGACCTGTGTGTATAGGTGACTCGCGGCTCTCTGTCTTCTCGCGGTGCTTCCCTCTGTCACTCAGGAACCTTTGGAGAGTTCAGGTTGAGCTGCTGACAGAAAGGCCTTCTGTTGACGCACACGAACACACACACCGCGGCGGAGAACATTACTCATGTGTGTTTCTGCTCGGGGACGCGCAGATCCCACTCTCTTTCCTCCATGTTGGAAGATTCTGACTTTTTATTTTTTATTTGATATCACTTTGCTTATTTAGAACATTTGTAGATTTGATATTCTTCTTATATTTTTACAAAATATTGTATTTTCGTTTGGACAGGTCTAGTCTTGTGAATAACCGGGTTTCACACCTCCATATCGACTCTTGGAAAAACGTTTTTATGGAATCTTTAGACTTTTGATATATATTTTCTATTCAATTTCTGCTAATTTTGCGGATAATTTTAAACTTAATTCCGCCTCCGGTCTGCATGGAGAACATGAACTCGTTTGTGGAATACTCCATCTGTAACAGAGCGGGGCCCGGCGCTTATTCTGCGCCTAAACCCGGATACCACCACCATCCTCTGCATCACCATCCTCTGGATCAGGGCTTCCCGGTGACCTCTGGCTCCTTCCATACGGGACCCAGCAGCTCTCCAGCTCCCGTAAACGGGACCAGAAGCGAAACAGGCGCCGGGGCAGCGGGTTACACCGGGGATGGGCGTCTGTACGGGGGCTCTGGAGGTGGAGGAGAGCATCCACAGCAACATCACGAACATCAGCAGACACACAACGGCTACCACCACCATCACCTTCAGACACAAAGCGGGACTGTGTATAATAACGGGACCGGGGGCAGCACCGGGGCTTACGCGGGCCAGGCGTGCGCCACGGATTACACAAACGCGATAGGCCCCCCCAACACGGTACATTCCCAGTACTTCATGGATGAGTCAGCGGCCTCCACTTACTATCATCAATCAACCTACCCCAGCTCGGCCCCCAGCTACGGGGCCCTGGCCGGGGCCTACTGCGGGCCTCAGGGCGCTCTGGCCGGGTCTCAGTACCCGCAGCAGCTCGGCGGGGGTCTGGACGCTGCGGGCTTCCTGGGCCTTCCACACGGAGGAGGTTACGGAGAGCTGCCGGTGACCCAGGACCGTGGGAATGGGGAGGAGGAGGGCCAGCAGGCCGGGCAGGGGCAGACCTTCGACTGGATGAAGGTGAAGAGGAACCCCCCGAAAACAGGTAAGAAGAGGCGGATTCTATGGTGAAATGTGGTCCGTTGTGGTGCCTTTAGAGTATTAGCAGCATGATAAAGGGCCTCGGCCTGCAGATTATATGTCTCATAATCATTTCAAAGGTTTCCCATGAGAAGCAATGGCTGTCATTGCAAGAGCTGCAGCAAAATGACCTAAAATAAGCTTTTACAAAACATGCGCAATCATTTTTGAAACGCTGTGGCGAGGTGCGAAATAAAACCCGGCCTATTATAAATAGCCTACAATGTGACATGAAATGTAAAGGACAGAGTTGTGTTCATTGATTATTTTGTAACAATACGAACGAAAGAGTTTAGCTTCCTCTAACATATAGGCCTAATATAAATGATGTTATAATGTTAATAATATACAGACACACGCGTTTGTTCCCCTGCAGGCCTCAGTTGTGATGTTTGTGTGTTCACAGATGGCTTTTCTGATGTAAATGTTTCTTTCCGTTCGTTCTTTCCTTTGTATATTTCACTTGTCAAGTCTCAATTCGTTTCACTGTAAACAGACTGATATTTGTGAACAAAGAACAAAATATGTTTGTTACTGTCCTATCCACCATGTTTAATGAGGAACATCAACACAGGTCACGTTTCATTATGATTACGCATTGGTTTTACAAGTTAAACGACAATACAATACAATAACTGCTTTATGGTCAGAGGAGTTGTACATTAGATTACATTTTTAAATTATGCTAACACCAATTGTCAGCGTAATCCTTTCGAGTGACAGAGTAAAGCTTAGCGTATAATTACATAATACATGTTAAAAAAGAATAAGATAACGTAACAAAAATATACTTTTCATAAGTTATTTTCTGCTTGGCCAACATTGGGTAAAAAAGTTAAATCTTTCAAAAAAAAAATTAAACTTGGCCCCTTGCATTTTGTAGTTTAAAAGTAAAATAAATTAAATCGCGTTTATTTCAGAGACTTGTCCAGTCCTGTCTCTCCGGACAGAGAGCAGGTCTGGGTCCTCCTCTCTCTTAATGGATATATCAGACGGGTTACTTCACCCCTGTTATCTTGACCCC